GAGAGAGAGAGAGAGAGAGAGAGAGAGAGACTAAACATAAAAAAATATATAATCATTCGGTAAAAACATCAGGAAGAAAAAGGGAAGGATCTAAAACGACAGTCCTGTGATATATGTGATTCATTTAGAACACAAACAAAAACAATATGATGTATGAATGAACAAACCCATGATAATAAGTCCATGTATTCTGCTTCATCAACGTGATTCATTTTCTAAAGCAAAAATCTAAAAAATCATTCTCTTTCTGTGCTTTCTTGTACCATTTTTGAAAAAACAAATGTCACCTTTTTGTCTTGGTGGTGTTTTGAAAATTGATTTATTACTTTGAACAATTTTAGATACTTTTGCAAAGTTTGACCAAAACTACAAACGGCAAAGTATTTCCCGATGATCATGTCGATGAACTCGTCAATATGCCATCGTATTTGGTAAGAAAACTTCATTGCATTTATGCCATAAAGAAAGGAAAAGTCAAAAACATTAAGACATATGTCTCTCCATTATACACGTCATATTTCTGCATATTCAAAAAAAAACAATCATATCATAAATTTGCTCTCAATTCGATATGTTAAATACGGCTTCAATTGATGTGTTTTTATAGAGATACAAAATATCCACTTACATATTAAGTGAGTAATTCATGTTCAAAAGTATTCCTTACCCTCTAATGTATCGGTACTCATGTACTTCCCACCATTCCTCTTCTCATCTTGTTGTCTCTATGTTTCATTTTTTGTGCTTGCCTGTTGACACTTTTTTTTATCTGTATATCATTTCAGTTTGCAGCAACCAAACTACTTCGCCAGTTTCAAGATCTTGTGGAAGGAGATAAAGACGCAAGACAGAATGAGGAAGCTACACTTCACGCATTATTGGATTCAGAAAGTTCAAGTAGAGAGGCGATCGAAAGAGAATTTTCCGAATCAGAAAAAGTAAAAGTATTTCTTGTTTTCTGTCTGTCTTTCTTAGTCTCTCTAGCCCCGGCCCTACCCCCGTCTAATATCTCTCTCTCTCTCTCTCTCTCTCTCTCTCTCTCTCTCTCTCTCTCCAGCTGCGTTTGACCCTTCATTCCCGTTTTTATGCTGTATCTTTATTTTATTTCTGTTAATAGGAAAATATTATCGCAATCGCCATGAATTTTCTCAAACTGCCAGTAAGAAAGGTCGCGGAACAACAAGAATACCTAGTTAAGGAACTCGAGCTAGAGCTGCCCCCTGTCGGAACGCGAGTCAGACGTGGTCCAGATTGGGATCCAAAGGACAACATAGACTCGAATGGACCTGGCACAGTAGTCTGCCACAACAATAACGGTAAGTTTTGACGTCGTGGTTTAATACTAATATTCACAAAATCATTGTGTCAAATGGTTCATATTAGCCAACATAATAAAATTATTTCAAACCAATGAAAACGTAGTTACAGTTGATTTATAAATGGTTGTTTTCGTACCTCACCAGTTAATAAATCATACAATTTCATGTAAAATAGCACGTTGTATGCATCTTGTTTTTTCATTAGACCAAACAAGGTAATTCTTAAAGTTATATCCACTGTTTTCTAGACAATTCTTTTAGTATTTAGTTAGATATATTGTAAACATGCTTAGTGTAGAACTTGCCAATATGCTGTGCATACTAAAATATGGATATGCACACTTACACCACATTGGCTATGAAACCAAGCAAATGAAACATGATACATGTACAAAAATAAAACACGCTTGCGCATGCTCAGTTAGTAAGAAATTCACTGACAACTGCCGCTAAAACGTATCAATATACCGTTAAGGATTTCTTTATAATTGATCAAAAATGCCAAGAAATACATAAGAAAAACATCGGTTCTTACCAGTTATTTGTCATAAACTGTTCATAAGGAGAATCAAACTACTTTTGCATGAATAATGTTGTGACACGATAACAATATTCAAAAATAATGGTCTCTTTATGAGGGAATTCTTTTAAAAATCTATTCTATATTTAACTTTTTTTGCGGATCTAGTTATATGAATGTGATAATACAAGAGCTCAACTTTTTTTATCTAGTTTATTAATCAGGTAAATATATTTCAATGGCAATAAGTAATGTATGAAATTAATAATCATGTACCTGATTTAATTTATCACATAAAACCAATGAAATAAGCCGACAGTATCGTTGGTTTGAATTTCTATTGAGCAGGTGCTATAGAAATGCAGGTAGCCTATGCGCCTTTTACGTCTATCTATTAATTGATAAAAATATTTTTAGATGACTATTATAGCGATTTGTATATCTTATACCAAATGTGTATAGGTACTGTATCTGTGTTGTGGGACTGTGGTATCGGACCTTTACCATACCACTGTTACGATCCCTGCCAAGTGCTGTCCACAGACAATGACGAACGGGCGGTTAGGGACGATGGATGGATACAAGTCGGCTGCAAGGTTGTAAGAGGTACTGTGTACATAAAGCAAACCCTTCAATTAAGTAAAGAATTGACACGTCTTTACAAAGCAGTTTTGCTACTGGTACGCAGTATATCCCGGCTAAGCAAAAATATGATTGTTAAAAAGACATTTATTCACGAGGTAATGACGGTTTACGCACTTACTACAGGAAACTGTATACTTCCAGGGCACAACGTGTTATGTTTTCTAGATGTCTTTTTCTGGTGTTCCCTAACGCCTTTCAGAATTGATTTTAGTTGGGAAATGTTGATGACTTATAATAGTTTTTGTTTTGCTTGCTTTCTTGCTTATAGCAGTGATTTCGGAAATTGACTTGCAGGGCCGGATTGGACTCACGGTGATGATGACGGAGGTCAGGGTTCATGTGGCGTTGTGTGTTTGTGTACAAGGAAAGGGACAGTTACGGTAATGTTCATTTTCTAAGGCCTCGTGCACAGAAAGTCACATACGGTACAGAAATGATATTTTTAGCGGGGTTTTTTTGCGCTCAAAATTGGTTGGTTATGTTTTGGTACGTCACGTTTTGGTGTTTGCGGATCGAGTGTTATACAATTTGGTGCTATCTGATTCTTGTATTTATATAGCTTCTCCATCGTACTATTTTGTTACGGTAGTTGTGCAGCTTAACATCTACAGTCTTTGTTTACCTAGGTACATATGTATATTACTTGAAACATTCCAGTAAAATACGAGGTTTTGTTCGAATTCCATTAGTATACAGCCTTATCTATTTCGTATTATCTGGATGCATCGAGGAACACAGAACAATACAGTGTAAAGACATAAATAAGAATACTTATCGCAACACTTACCAATATGTTATCGTTCGATAGCGATTTGACTTATATAAAATTGCCTGTTTACCCTTGAACACCACTTACACAGCAACGGATATGAAAGCAATGAAACGTTATGACACCTTGTGATGGACACATGTCTTTATTTACGTATTATGTATGAAGTATGTTAATTTTGTCGCGGAAAAGCATGTTTCACCAAAGATAAACAATATACAGAAGTACGAAGATGCTCTGACGAAATCATTGTGTTGCGAGGACCTTTATTGTCATCGTGAAATTTTGGTTACATTCACTCAAACGGCATGTTTCTTCCACAAGCCACAAAAACATCGTATATGTGAAAAATATAGGTCAAACTTAATGTGTTACATTACATGCACCTTATTTCAGGTTCGTTGGCCAAGTAGGAAAATTGGGGAATACAGATACGGGGATGAAGTGGTATTGCTGGACACTTCAGAAGAGTAAGCATTGCTCAATGCAACTTGATCGCTTACGTATAATGGCATATGTTTGTCATCGACTTTTGACATGCGAGGTCCATATGTAGACATTGTATTTTTAAGATGTCGTCATACTCTACGTATTCTCATTTTGTGTCGACGTAATTCTTATATTATGCATACATAAATCCAAATTTTCCGAGATAACAAATACAAATGTAGGTAGATAATTACATCTGAATGGTCGGATATGACATTGATATGCCATTTATCCAATCTAGTAAAAAAATATGATTATAGTGATAGTAATAATGATCTCGGCATATGTCGCGACAATATGTTATAATTAAAAAATATGTCTTTTTTAAATTATGTCGCCATACATAATTCGTAAGTCGATGGCAGTTATATTCCACCAAATTATTACATGTTACAGAATTACGTTGTGATACATTGGTCTTCAACTTAATTTATTTAAAATGAAATGGGTGGAGGAAAGGAAATTGCATTCCTTTTGTGACGATAACTTGCTTAAATATCAATTTGTGTTTTTCTGTTAGACATGCTCAGGCAGCAGGGTATGATCGGAGTATTAGTACACGTGAGTTTGAACCAGGAAACAAACATAATCCTAAAGAATATCGGAAGATTCGTATGCCTGTTTCTGACAACTCGAATTTGAAGCTTCTGAAGCAAAGCATATTTGGCGGTCTTATTAAAAAAGGTATAGTGTACGTTCCTGTATATTAAAATGGTTCAGAAATGTTCAAATTAAAATCTCGCTTATAAACTTAATTTGATATAATGGTATTTTACTCTTAACAGCGAATCCGCGGTTTCCATGCCAGTTATTTTTAAACAATAATGAAATATATATTTTTCACTAATGAAATAATAAAGCAAATCTGATTAAACGTAGAGGCATTTTATCCCCTCATTACATGTGCGCGAAACCAAATGTTTCTCAGTTTCAACAATATAAACAATGTGTATACATAAACGAAAACCTAAATATCGAAGGTTATAGAACAAGAATATCTTGTTTAATATATATTTTGTACAATATGAATTTTATCCGCAGACAGAGCAGCAGACGTTCAACTGAAACCGGAATCAGACAGCAGCACCCCAGATGTTCAAGCGAAACCAGAAACGGAGAGTTACATTCCATTTTTGTGGAGTTATCAACAGGAAGGTCAAGTCGAATGGACTTCATTTGATGCTAGCAACAACGGAAAGCTAGAATCTGATTGGTCCAAACAGCGCAAAACCACAATGGTTTCAGCTAATAACAAAAGGTAATGCATGGTCATATAATCAAACAAGGATGAAAAAATAACATTTTGTTTGGGTAATTATATCTTTTACTGTCGACGATTGAGATATCGAGAATCTATTTCACCGATAGAGATATCGAGAGTCTATTTCACCGATTGAGATATCGAGAGTCTATTTCACCGACTAAATATCATTATCTTTATGCATGAACATCCCCCTTCTCTTGTTGTTTTGGATTCATAGCAATAGCTCACGAACCTATGATGTGGCGTCTTATATCATGTAGACTTCAATTTCGATAAGCTGTAAGCAGGAATACGGCCCCGCAAGTTGTGTACCTAAAGGGCGAGTTATCGTACCGAAAAGCTGTCCCGACATTGCCTGTGCCACGACTTGTAATGGCCAGAACATCCGTACACCAACATGTTTCATTTATTTGCTATTTTTATGTAGCAGTTCATGTGATAGTTGTCATGTTAGCTCATGTTAGTGGAAAGTGTTTTATGATCAATCTAGCATTTGTTTTTTTGAATATGATTTCTTGAGTTTATTCATAAAAAGTTCTATCACCTTCGATATTTAGGTTTTCGTTTATGTATACACATTGTTTATATTGTTGAAACTGAGAAACATTTGATTTCGCGCACCTGTAATGAGGGGATAAAATGCCTCTACGTTTATTCAGATTTGCTTTTATTACTTCATTAGTGAAAAATATATTGCATTATTGTTTAGAAAAACTGGCATGGAAACTGCGGATTCGCTGTTAAGAGTAAAATACCATTATATCAAATTAAGTTTATAAGCGAGATTTTAATTTGATCAATCTAGCATTTGTCTTTTGAATATGATTTCTTGAGTTTATTCATAAAAAGCTTAAGTAAATCCATAAAACTAAAACCGTTAAAACAGATCGTTATTCCTTAAATGTAAGCAAAAATACAGTTGTGTGACCGCACCGATGTATGCAGCGTGCATACATCGTTCACACACCGTCCGCACATCGTCCACACATGATGCGCACAACTGTGCGATTTAACAATCGTTCGCCTCGTTGTGCGCCTCTCTCCACACAATTGTGCGATAAGGTACTATTTGTTGTTCAATATTACGAAATGAAATAAATACGGAAGGCTCGTATGCAATTATGTACACTGTATATATTACTGTGATTTCTCATCACAATAATTAAGATTATGTACAATTTTACAATGCGTGTTTCAAAGTATTACAGTGACCGTTAGACTGTCAAGAATGGGTTTGGCTCCGAGGTAAAAGAACAGGTAAATAACGTTTTGATGAGTGACCAGAGTTTTACCTGGCCTGTGCCGGCTGTGCCTGACACATATAGCTGATGCGTGATACCGTATGTTATAGCTCCCCTTCACCTGGACTTTCACAACCCGATGAGTTACGTAAGTGCCCCGGGCGGGGAAAAGTACGGTCCAGGTTCATGTACAAATAGCTACATGCATATGGTATGTGTACCTGTATACGGGAACTGTGTTACAATTTTACATGTCGATTAAAGGTCGTTCAAAATACACCGAAAACACCATTTCTAAATTAAGGAAAGTATAGACAGAAAATTTAAAGATACGCTTATAGATGCAGCTAGTATATGGAAACATTCTTAAAATATCGTGTTTATATGTTTAAACACAAAACCGTATATAGTGTTAAGGCATTCCTCAATTTACACTAACCACGATTGTAATTGCACAACGTTCGTCCATCGTGCGCACAAATGTTCATCGTTCACATACCGTGTACACACCGTGTGCCCTCCGCACATCGTGTAACGTTGTGCGATCACACAACTGTACAAAACCAATATGTTACCTAATAAACTTATTTGTATTCGCAAATTTGTTATTGTAGAAAATGACTTAAGTGACCATTTACCCGAAATTATGATAAAATAAAATTTTGAAAAACTTAATGAAAAAATCTTAATCTTTGATTCACAGAGTATCATTGTATTCCTGATTGGTTTAGGTCATCATTCGTACATCATGTACGTCTGAAAGCTTAGTGTTGGATCACTATTTACATTTTATACGTTTTGTAGATTTCTTTGCAATCAATTTTATGTTTATAGGTACAGAGTTGCTTTCGAAAAAATGACAATGTCTTTCATAGGCGGCAATAATGAAGACAAACAGCTGAGGATAGACGTGAAACGGGTAGGTACATGTAGTCAGCAGATGTATTGGCTTTTATTCAGAACGTACATAATTGTATATCATCATAAGATAATGTTGATGTTATGGTATTTGTCTGCATTAGATAACATGAACTGTGCTTCAAATTAATTTTTACTCAGTGACCTTGAGAACTTATAGAATCTGTTCAGTTTAGAGGCACACAGATTAATTACAGGGCTACGCAGAGGGACATCAAATGATATATTATATCAAGAATTAAGATAGGAAACATTAAATAGTAGAAGAAAAAACATTAACTAACATTAATGTATAATAAGATTATAAATAGTGAAACACCAAATTACCCGAAGGAAATAATTAAACCTAACTTTCATGATGATAATCTGACTAGATATTCTTTGAGAACATGTAGTATATTTGATCCATCATTATGTCGTACTGTAAATTATAATGAAAGTTTATTCCCTTCTATGTTTAATGAATTTAATAAATTGTTCCTAATATTCATAATATTAAATCATAAGCTTTTTAGGTCAAAATCATCATGTTCAATCTGAAACAACTGATATTTTAATATAAAATTTTCGTGAAATCGCAACATAAACATAATTCTTTGTCAGCTAAGGAATGGCGCTATTAACCTAAATTACGACCTTTATAAAGACCATTTAGTTGAATCTCCACATTGTGAATGCGACCAAAGCTACTATTTTCTGGAGTGTAATAGGTACATGTATAATAGAGCTCGCCACGTTTTACAGCAGAATCCTAATCATGATGGACATAATCACGTTAGTATAAATATCCTGCTGCCTGGCCGTGGTAATTGTAATGACACCCAAAACAAACATATTCTCAAAAAGCTTTTTATAGTTCAATCACAAAGATGTCCTTATATTGTGCTACAAATTCTTTTTCATAGCACAATATTCATTAGTGGATGGCCAATATGTGGCACATGGACTTTGTATGGCCTGCATCTTTTGGGGAGATAAAGTCAAATCTACCAAATATATATGTTTTGAATATTTCCATAATAAATAAAAACGTGTAGCTTTAGCTAGGTCAAATAAATCGTTTTTACAAACTTGTTCGTTACTAGTCCGTAATTAAAAGGGTAACTATCTTTACACATCACTATTATACAATCTGCTTTGGAGGAGTTACTTCGACTTTGTGTATCTACAATGTAAATGTCTCTAATATATGTAAACGATGTGTTCACCACGTGATGTAGCTGTAGGGAGAGGACCTAAAAAGGCAATGCCCGATGTCCAATCCTGTTGACGTCTTATGTCAATAGAATCTGTTGAAATTGAAGAAAAAAAATGAAAGTAATTTTGGTTCTTATTTTTTTAATGTACCAGTAAACCGGCGTGTCGGTCGGTGAATGGTTATAACGTTTGTTGTTACACATTTGTATTTGTTTGGTAAACAGTGTAGAAATTAGTCTTCATTACAGTTACTACGCTAAGGTAATTGCCACGTTTATGTGGCAGATGAGGCGAGCTAGATTAAAAATTCTCGATTTCTGTTTGATTTTTAGGAACGAAGAAACACGCAAGGTGTGGAACAAACGGAAGATTGACATTTTTCCTCGGTGACAAAGCTTGACCTTCTTATATTTAATATATGATAGACTGTTATCACTTAATGTGCCCAGGAACCATACAGAAAAAATATTGCATTTCTACATATAAGGAACAAAATCAAAATTGACATTGAACACAAAATGATAACTTCAGGAACCAAGAAGTCATCAAAACAAACGGAGGGCTCTATTAAACCCCTTAAATCATTAAAATTGGACTTGTCCAGTTTGTGATTTGATTGGTTAAAATGTGACTTCAGGGATGAAACGTTTAAATCGCAGACGAAACATTCTTATCCAGTGCAATGTATCACCTACTGTCTTATGTGAAAGTACAGGATCACGAAAGTCAAAAACAGTGCTAGACACAGAACAAATGATTGCAATAATGGCAGCCATTTAGATATTATTTTTTTATAATCGGATCACGATTACAATTTCAATATTGAATACGTACCCATGTACCATATCCTGGAGCTCTGTATAAGTGACGGTCGCTCTATCTAATTGAGCTATCTGGTAGTCTCTGTATTGGTGACGGTCGCTCTATCTAATTGAGCTATCTGGGAGTCTTTGTATTAGAGACGTTCCATCTAATTGAGCTATCTGGTAGTCTCTGTATTAGAGACGGTCGCTCTATCTAATTGAGCTATCTGGTAGTCCATGTATTAGTGACAGTCGCTCTATCTAATTGAGCTATCTGGTAGTCTCTGTATTAGAGACGTTCCATCTAATTGAGCTATCTGGTAGTCTCTGTATTAGAGACGGTCGCCCTATCTAATTGAGCTATCTGGTAGTCTCTGTATTAGAGACGGTCGCTCTATCTAATTGAGCTATCTGGTAGTCTTCTTATTAGTGACGGTCGCTCTATCTAGTTGAGCTATCTGGTAGTGTCTGTATTAGTGACGGTCGCTCTATCTAATTGAGCTATCTGGTAGGCTCTGTATTAGTGACGGTCGCTCTATCTAATTGAGCTATCTTGTAGTCTCTGTATTAGAGACGGTCGCCCTATCTAATTGAGCTATCTGGTAATGTCTGTATTAGAGACGGTCGCTCTATCTAATTGAGCTAACTGGTAGTCTTCTTATTAGTGACGGTCGCTCTATCTATTTGAGCTATCTGGTAGTCTCTGTATTAGTGACGGTCGCCCTATCTTATTGAGCTATCTGGTAGTCTCTGTATTAGAGACGGTCGCCCTATCTAATTGAGCTATCTGGTAATGTCTGTATTAGAGACGGTCGCTCTATCTAATTGAGCTATCTGGTAGGCTCTGTATTAGTGACGGACGCCCTAACCAATTGAGCTATCTGGTAATGTCTGTATTAGAGACGGTCGCCCTATCTAATTGACCTATCTGGTAATGTCTGTATTAGAGACGGTCCCTCTATCTATTTGAGCTATCTGGTAGTGTCTGTATTAGAGACGGTCCCTCTATCTATTTGAGCTATCTGGTAGTGTCTGTATTAGTGACGGTCGCTCTATCTAATTGAGCTATCTGGTAGTCTCTGTATTAGTGACGGTCGCCCTAACCAATTGAGCTATCTGGTAGTCTCTTGTCGCATTCGAAATGGAGGGGTGATGAGATAAAGTGTGGTGATATTCTCTCCTGTTCTGTCTGCGTTGGAACAGGGGTCCTAAAATATTCTTTTAACAAATATTCTTTAAACAGACATAATTTGTGAATTCATAATAATGAAATACTATAGTGTGTACATGTACCATATTTTAGTATTTTACACTGCATTTCCCCATCTCTGTCCCACCTTCCCCGATCGGAACATCTCGCCCTGATTACAGTTCCTTCCATCGTTATATGACCGAATCGGCCGAGGTGTTCCGAGTACCACCTTCCCCTTTAAAAGTATTTTTATTCACGTCACTGTCACTGTAGCTATAGTTGTTAATGTTAGTTATCATATGAGGATTTACACAAGTGTATCAAATGTTTCCTGTCTCCTGTTCATTAATGATCATTCATGTTGGTTTTATTTTGTATATATATCTTATGTGATTAGCACGAAATTTGACTTAAAAACAGATTACAAACCATGTAACAAATATGAAAAAGTCTCACTGTGTACAACAAAAATGATCAATTTTAGGGTCCTTTAAATTGTTTCATAATTTCATTAAACTAATGATCTGCCATTACATTCGGAATCAAACAGAGATGTTTATGCTAATGACTAAACAATAGTTTAGCAAAGGTCACAGACAGTCACTGTCACAGTGAACGCACAATGTTATGAAGACAAGATGATATTAAGCGAAATTAAACTAATTGTTCATGTACAGTGTATGTTAGTTGTGTCTAAAGCAACATAAACTGTGTACAGTAGAAGAAGACGCATATTTCCTCAATTTTCTCAAAAATATATCGAGTATTAGAATTACTCCAGTGTATCCGACGTTGCTGATTAATAGATGACCACTCACATTGGTGTTTCCTCATTTAATGTGTTCCATAGTAATAATATAGCCTGTTCTGTGCTTATTGAGGCTTCAGTAGATAGATCGTCGAAGCTATAAAACATGCTGTTAGACTACTTAGTACATACTTACTAACATATACGTTTTTTTGTATATGAGATACGACACAATTGCTCTTACCCATATTAGCCCCCTCCGTATCACACCCCAAAACCCGTATCAGTCCTCTCCGTATCAGCCCGCAAAATCAGTATCACATCCCTTTTGGCAATTTTTCGTTTTATAATATTTCAAAAGAAATATAGATCATAAGATAATAGATATATGTGTATTTTATTAGTATGTACTGTATGTAATAAACATAATAGAACATGCCTTTTTTTCCATATCATATCCAGTATCAACCGATACCGGGTGTGCTATGGAAAAAGGCATGTATCATTCTCTATTTCCATATTATTGTTGACTTGTAAATGTTTGAATGGTTCAGGATAACATGATGATATTTCAACATTTTCTACATTTGAAGGGGGTATATTTGACCAAGATCCCCTTAGTTTTATTAAACAGTTCAACCTCACCCCTACCCTAGGCTGTTATTTTGTCAATCTCATATATCTAAATAAATGCTTAATATATCAAAATATTAATTTAGTATTTTGTATGTTTATATACAGACGCTTGGGTGACATACATTGAACTCTGAACAAACTATTTTATACGTTTTTTCCCAAAACCAGAAATATTTTAGGACGCTCAATTACAGTATATATTTGTAACTGTAGATTTTTCATATTTTCTTCAGTTTACAATATTAGTATACGCATATAATGTACATTCGATTGACTGTATATTTATGAATCACATCGTACCAAGATTTTAATTTCTTTAGTTTGTGATATTCTTAAAATAAGTAATTTGCAATGAATAAATGTTATATATTTTTTCTCCCCCGTTTTTCTTATTCATTATATATTACTAACAAACAGACCTTGTAGAAGCTGTTTAGCTTCCAAAGGTTATAATAGCGAATTTCAAGATAAACTCGTGTCATGCTCAAGCATGAATTCTGTGCATAAACACACTTTCTTGTAACTCCTGACACGATAAAAAGGAGGGTTTTTTTTATTGATCACTTGAACATTTAACTGGGTTTGAGCAAACAATCTGGGTTGAAACACGACAAATGTCCTGGTCTTAACGAATTTCACTTGCTGAAATAATTGTTATTAGTTCTCAAACTTTTTGTTACTATGAAAAAAAATAGCAATGCATAATAATAGGAAATTAGATGATCTCGCGTGATTTTATCTAATACTTCAAACCTGTCAATGAGCAGTGTATATAAAGTATGTGTTATCAGTAAGATGAAACTAATCCAACACTATGTGTAAATAAGTGGTTCTATGGTGTAATGGTTAGCACTCAGGACTCTGAATCCTGCGATCCGAGTTCAAATCTCGGGAGAACCTGAACGGTTTTTTTTCTAGTATTATTATTGTACACTTATATTACTTTTTTTTTTTTTTTTCACTATGTAGTTTAACAGTGCATAACTACCTTTTAAACGATATACATATTAACAACAACTCGTATGCAGCGCTTTGATCAAACTCGAACCCTAGACCCTCAGATTAAAAGTCTGATATTCTACCGATTGAGCTACGCGTGCTTCAATCAGCAAGTTCTAGATTAAACACCATAAAATCTGATAAACACCAGACAAATTCGTTACTATTGATAAGTGTAATTATTATACAGTGCAGTTATTACGTCTTTCTAGCACTCGTCGGCGGAGTTAGGGATCCACAGTTAGAAAGTCAAATTTGTCTAAACTATTGTTGAACATATCGGCTAGTGGGTAAACCTAGTAATTAATTGAATCATAAAAACATTAGAAGTTGTAAACATCTTACAAATGCAACAAAATAAGCAAAACATTTGATTTCAGTTAATTTAGAAATCAGTATATAACCTTGATATACATACATATATAAATGCATATAACCTTGATATACATACATATATAAATGTATATAACCTTGATATACATACATATTTAAATGTATATAACCTTGATGTACATACATATGTAAATATATATAACCTTGATATACATAAATATATAAATGTATTTACCCTCGATATACATACATATATCAATGTATATAACCTTGATATACATACATATATAATTGTATTTAACCTTGATATACATACATATATAAATGTATATACAATTGATGTACATATATATATAAATGAACATCACATTGACATACCTACATATATAAATGTATTTAACCTTGATATACATACATATATCAATGTATATACAATTGATGTACATACATATGTAAATATATATAACCTTGATATACATAAATATATAAATATATATAACCTTGATATACATACATATATAATATGTATAACCTCGATATACATACATATATAAATGTATATAATCTTGATATACATACATATTTAAATGTATATAACCTTGATGTACATACATATATATTTACATATGTATGTACATCAATTGTATATACATTGATATATGTATGTATATCAAGGTTAAATACATTTATATATGTAGGTAGGTCAATGTGATAAACATTTATATATGTATGTACATCAATTGTATATACATTGATATATGTATGTATATCAAGGTTAAATACATTTATATATGTAGGTAGGTCAATGTGATAAACATTTATATATGTATGTACATCAATTGTATATACATTTATATATGTATGTATATCAAGTTTATACATAGATATATAAATGTATATAACCTTGATATACATACATATTTAAATGTATATAACCTTGATATAGATACATATATAAATATATATAACCTTGATATACATACATATATAATATGTATAACCTCGATATACATACATATATAAATGTATATAATCTTGATATACATACATATTTAAATGTATATAACCTTGATGTACATACATATATAAATGTATATGACCTTGATATACATACATATATAAATGTATTTACCCTTGCTATACATACATATATAAATGCATTTACCCTTGATATACATACATATATAAATGTATATACAAAATATATATAACCTTGATATACATACATATATAGATGTATATAACCTGGATATACATAGATATATAAATGTATATAACCTTGATA